CTGCGGAGCTCGCCCCAGTGCAGGCTCGGCAGAAGTGCGGATCGAGGGCACATAACGGCCGCAAAGGGGGCGCTCGCGAGCACCCTTCTGAACGCTAAAATTACAAATGGGACACCCTACGGTCTCGTGGACTTAACGGACACGCGCACGTGGTGGCCATCCGTAAGACCGCAAGTTCACATGAAGTGTTCCATTTGGGACAGGGCCAAATAGTGAAATAAAACTCCTTCCTTGATATTTGTTGATATGTGTGTTTTGAAGATGTTTTTGATTGATATTATTGACTCCTATCCAATTTTCTATATATATATATTTTTTTTTAAATGGTCTTTTTTATATTTTATTTTTTTATTTTGAAATTTTGCAAGCTCTGAATTGGCCTGAGTCGTGCCAACTCATGACTTATGCCTTCAGAACTTCATATTAAACACTCATTGTTTAATAATTGCATATGTGCTAGATTGTCATTAAAAATGACTTGCACATTCCTGATGAATGCAGGCTCTTTGAACGGCTGTGTTCTAAAACCTAGTGAGCTAGTGCCTACATGGCAACAATCACCTGAAAGACTTCACTAAAGATTCTGGTGTCAGCATGTTGCTAAGAGAATGGCATAACACTCTTAAGCAGCATACACAACACAAAAAAACACAACAACAACAACAACAACAACAAAATATAATAATAATAATAATAATAAACAAACCTTTCACACAAATAATGAGTAAAACATTTTAATTTGATTATCAATACTTTTCATTATTTGATTATCAATATCTTAAAGTCAGCATTAAATATAAACTCAACATATCTATTTCCTAAATGCATCATATATAGTATAGAATATAGATCATCTGTGCATCCATATCTAAACATTTTTTGAGCTCGTAATTTTTTATCAAAAATGTCATATCTTGATCTTCCAGTTTATTCCACTTGAACCCCACTAATTTCTTACAACATTAAACTGCTGTCTAGTTTACTAAACAGGGCTGCTCTAAAACTTGCAAAAGGTAACATGTTTTAACAGTTAGATGAACTGCAGTCTTACTGAATGCTTCTCAGAGTATGTAGCATTTCTGGTCTCTAGTATTTCTGGTCTCTAGTTATACAGTCACCACACCCATCATTATGGAACATTACAACTACAAGGGTGGAATAAACAAAAAAACAGATAAGTGCTGAAATATACCGATCAGAGTGCTTTGAAATTTGCAAAGAAAAAAAAAAGCACCAAAATAAAACAAGGATTGATATCGGTGAGTGGAAGGCCATTCATTCGTCACTCCACAAGAGCCAATCTATTAGAGATGGAGAACAGAAAGGCCTTCTGGGATCCCAAAGAGATGAACTGACGTCCCACAGATCAATAAGAGAAATGAGTGTGACCTTCGGAATGGCCTTGCTGAAAATAGGGATGGGCAGTATGAAGAAAATCACCTCATGGTAATAGCATACACTGTACCACAATATCGTTTTTGTATTAAATAACCATGTGGTAATGCATGGCCTATTTTTGCATAATCCAATAAACTAAATACTTTACAAATGAAAGGAACTTCTTCTTTTGAGAATTTTAAGTCAGTTCTAGCCATTAAATAAAAATACTGCATTAGAGTGATATCCGAGTCTATATATCGGAGCAATTCCTCAACAAACATCACTCTTACACCTTCATTATAACCTGTTAGTCTTGTTGTCAAGGCAACAGCACTACTGTGAGTGTGAAGCTCCGAGAGTCTGTGACAGCATGTGTCTGGTGTCTGTGAATAGCTTCACGACCAAGCCAGCAGCCTGTGGCCTCACTTTCACCCATAACATCAGCAGCTGATCATTCCTCTCCTCACCTTCTTTGAGCAGGATATCCCCATGACAACACAACAATGGATATCTTAATTTTCATAGGATTGCAGAATTAATTGCATCAAACTGGACGTGTCAGATCGCAGCTTCTCACTGCATGTATCAAGCCTCTTAATAAGATGAGTAAACACAGCCTGTTTATATGGAGGTATTACACATTAAATTATACCATGATTACGTCAATTACATTCTCAAATTACCATTCTTCTCTCTAGATATCATTATCAGCCATTCAAATAACTCCTATCAGTCAACTATTAGACTGCACTCAATCCATTACCACCTTACAGCACTTTTAATTGTGTAATCTGCTGTAGTGCAACATGTAAACCATTAGTCCAAGTCCAAGACGTCACTAAATACGATTATGCATCATTAACTTATTTGTGCCAGCTGTACAAATGTAAGTAAAAGTCAGTCTGTAAGGAGGGCAGAAATTCTCACAAATCTCGCAGAAAATTACTCTTAACCCTCTGGGGTCCGAGGGTGTTTTGGGGCCTGGAAAAGTTTTGACATGCCCTGACATTTGTGCTTTTTTCAGTTGCTTACAAACATTTGAATGTCTAAAGTTTAATAACACTGTAATCAGCACAAACTGGGCTACAATAATATGTGGGCAGCATGTATGTACGTGATTGTGTTTTTGAGAAAACAACGTTTATGCGTGCTTAGTAAAAAACTACAATTTTAAAGTCACTCAAATAAGGCCATAAAACACATACAGAACATTTGA